CACAGAAAGGCTGACCAACCGAAAAGGGGACAATCTGAGGGTATAACTCTAAGACTTTGCTCATTAATATTCTAAACTTGCTTCAGACCACAGTAGTTTCCACAACTCTGAGATCTGAAGGGCAACTATTTTGAGGGACCAAAGGTGGTCTCACCATCAGCCGGGCGTGGTTGATGTTCCAGGTGAAGGTGGTCATGGTCTGATTCTGTGGGTCCACGATAGAGTCCTCCAGGATGTACACCGAGTGAGCAACGTTGGCAGGAAACAGTCGCTCTGCCCAACGTGGCATCCTATTGGTCTTGGTCAGGAGTCTCCGGGACAGCAGCTTCTGGTCGGGGGTCACCTCCCGATGCACTATGTCTTCCGTTAAGACATGTTTGCTGCAGGTGTTAAAATAAAGATGATTATCAGAAGTCTACTCCTGAGAAGCTGTCTACTACAGGTTTCCATTTGGAGCCTCCAGTTCGTGGCTTCCTGTAATCTGGCAGAGCGCTCTGTTCTCGGGTTCAGAGTGAAGAGTATACTGAACCTATCCCCGGGGGCAAATTCCAGTTCCCTCCCCCTCCCTGACCTGGTTTCTGAGGCTTTCCAATCTCTCAAGATTTGTACCACTAGAGAGCGCTACGGGCAGGTGAGCAGGCCATCGCCAGGATTTCCAACCCCAAGATAACTCCCATACCGCCGCCTCTTCCTGTCTTACCCCCTTGAGATCACAAATTAGAAATCTAGAGCCTCACATAAATCATAAACTGGCCAGTCTTCTTCGAGGACCTCGCAGGCTTGGCCTGGTCCTAATCTTAGTAAGGACTTTGTGCCCTAACTGTGGCCACAGTTTCAGAGATACCCCACGTCGGATTGGCTGTCAAGGACAGCCTACACTCCGATCTCCAAACGGAGAGAGGAGGGCAGTTCGCTCTACCCACCGCCACGTACCTATAGGGATTCGGGTACCGTTGCCAGAAGGCAGCGAACACTTGGTCCCAGGAACTTCGGAGCACGCTCTGGCCCAGGAAATACTTCACCATCGTCCCGACCCGGGCGGGCTCAGCACCCGTGCAGCATCAGGGTGAAGAGCCCGGGGGTGGGGGGGCACGTATGTCGGTGCACGCCCGCCAGGCTCGCAGTTCAGTCACCGCCGCGCCGCGCCCAGGTCCCTACCGCCGCCATGAGGGACTATAAGACTGCGCGACGCTTCCGGCGCCGGCCGCGGAGGATCGGCCGCTTCCGGCGCTCGCGTCACGTGACCGGACGTCCCGCCTCTTGTCGTCCAGTCCCTGAGGTGCGGGTTGAAGTTAGCTGCGGGGACCCCGGTTCCTGTCGGTAACCCCGGCGCAGCGGAGCCGCACTTGCAGTAGCAGTCGCGCGGGTGAGCGGCGTAGGGCCCGGCGGCGCGGTGGAGGGCGCTGTCCGCGTCCCCACGCCGCGGCTTTGCAAGGGACGGAGCGCCCCGGGCCGAGGCGCCGGGGGCCTGCGAGGTGCGAGGCCCTTGGGGTTAGTGTCTGAGGCTTGGACTCTGCCTGGGCCGCGCAGACCCTGACGTGGGTGAGGCGGCTCCGGGAGCATGAGCGGGCAGCGCGTGGACGTCAAGGTGGTTATGCTCGGCAAGGAATACGTGGGCAAGACGAGCCTAGTGGAGCGATACGTGCACGACCGCTTCTTAGTGGGCCCCTATCAGAACGTGAGTGTACCCCTCCGGACCAGGCATGGGAAGAAGGGGGCTGGCCTGCATTCGACTCTTATCTCTTCCCTGGTTGCAGACCATCGGGGCTGCCTTCGTGGCCAAGGTGATGTGCGTTGGAGACCGGACGGTGACTCTGGGTATTTGGGTAGGTCCCTGCGGGATATAGTCTTGAGCAAAACCATCCCCGAGATTTAATGTCTTGCCTCTTAAAACTAGCCTGCTGGAGCCTCATAGAGGTCGTTTTTCCTTCCCCACACCCATTCACTTACCTAAAAAAATGGGGGTCTGGAAGACGCGGGCTTAATTCGTAGTCTTATGAAGGAGCTCATTAACTCCCTTCACCCCACAGGACACTGCAGGATCTGAGCGCTACGAAGCCATGAGCAGAATCTATTACCGGGGTGCCAAAGCTGCCATTGTCTGTTATGGTAAGGGGTTGGATTCTGTCCTGTTCAAGTAAGGGTTGGGTTACAGGCTAGCATCAGAGGGAATCAATCCACTGATCCTTGGTTGTCTCTCCTGTCTGACCCTACCAAGACCTCACAGACAGCAGCAGCTTTGAGAGAGCCAAGTTCTGGGTGAAGGAGCTACGCAGTTTAGAAGAGGTAAGTGGCCAGATCTCACAGATCAGTGACAGGGACGCGGTCATTCTGTGAAAATAACCTCAGCCTTGTCCTCTGCTGTAGGGCTGTCAAATCTACCTGTGTGGCACTAAGAGTGACCTGCTGGAGGAAGACAGGCGGCGCCGTCGTGTAGACTTCCATGATGTCCAAGACTATGCAGATAGTAGCTATTCTAAAGCCTTTGAGGATGGGGGGTGTGTGTGTGTCAGGGGGCGGGTAATACCCGCTCGAGTGGATTACAAGGACAGAAGACCGACAGCCTTGGCTGCTTTCTGGCCTTCTTGAACCTGTGGGATCCTGGAAGCTGAACTATTAGCTATATTTAAGTCTGATTCAGTCACTTCTCTTTGCAGATATCAAAGCCCAGCTCTTTGAAACATCCAGCAAGACAGGCCAGAGTGTGGGTGAGTGTTGTCTTGGGGCCTGTCAAAGGAGCAGGCAGGACACTGAAGGAAGAAAGGTTCAGAGGGCTGGGTCACTGGGAGTCCTGGGGCTTCTGGCTCCAGGACCTCACTGATCTTTGCTTGCCAGACGAGCTCTTCCAGAAAGTGGCAGAGGATTACGTCAGTGTGGCTGCTTTCCAGGTGATGACAGGTGTGTACTTCCCTACCCTCTAAAATTTCCTCTAGGCTCATGGTCTCTAGCCCTGTTGGTGACTTACCTGATCACCCAGCATAGTGGTGCTAAGCAGTCACCTCTCTCTTTGACAGAGGACAAAGGTGTGGATCTGAGCCAGAAGGCAAACCCTTACTTCTACAGCTGTTGTCATCACTGAGTCACGATTCATCTGGCCTGGGAGAATTAAATGAATTCCCCAGAGGGGCTGGACCCAATCCTTGTCTGGGCTGGCGTGGTCAAGTGTCTGAGCTACTCCAGGTGCCCATGGCAGCAGAGTTGGCACCTGCCTGTGCTGGCCCATGGAACGGAGGCAGTGTTGGGCAGACTGTGGGCATGAAGAGGGATAAGGGCTGATTTTAATCCCAGGCTTCTGTCCTGGACAGAACTTCTGTCCACAGATTATTTAAGTAGCTTCTGAACTGTAAATAAAATTGATGCACTGTGACTCACAGCCCCTTCCCTGCGGTGTGCACTGGCTGTCAGAACACCTAGTTGTTCCTGGGGCCACTTGCCTGGCCTAACTTTCTAGAAGACTTACCATATGGAAACCAAGTAACTAGTCACTGAAATCTTGGAGAAGCAATGGGCTCTCATGCCCCCACGTCCATGTGCGCTTGCACATATATGTGCATGTAGAGCAAACCCCCAAGGCTTCTAATACCAGCAAGAACTTTACCACTGAATGATACCGCAGTTACTTTTTCTTTTATGGGGATGAAGATAGGTTTAGAGGCTGGGATGGAGGAGTACAAAGCTCATGAGAAGAGCAAGGAAAGCACCTAAGTTGTATTCACAGATGAAAGGCTCAGCCATTACCAACCTCAAGACAAGTGGTTTGGCCAGCTCTACTTCGGGCAGCATGTCTAGACCTGTGGCTCAGGGCTGTGACTCAGTCCTAAGCTTCCCAGGAACACCCTGTAATGAACTTAACAAGAGGCAATCTATAGTTCCGCAAGTCAAAAAGGCCTTATGGATCCAATTTAGCTTCTAATTTAGAAAAAGGACTTGAAACTGGGACGTGGTGATGCTCGCCTTTAATCCCAGCACTGCCGAGGCAGTCAGGTGAATCTTTGAGTTTGAGGCCAGCCTGGTCTACAAATTGATTCCCAGGACGGCCAGCGCTACATAGAGAAACCTTGTTTTGAAAAACAAACAAAAAAACCCCCCCACACACGCCATTTAAAAAAACCAAACCAAACCAAAAGGACTTGAAGACAGAGTGGTGGCCTGTCTTTAATCCCAGCACTCAGAAGGCAGGAGGTGGGCCTCTGAGTTCTAGGCCAACACAGCTACATAGTGTACCCCCATCCCACAAAAAACAACAAAAAACCTCTAAGTAAATAAAAAGAAAATTGAGACAACTGCTAATTTGTTCAGGATCAGAAATACACTGAAAACCTAGATGTTAAATGTAAAAAGGTCTAACACTTCCTGTTTAAACAGAAGGAAGTGTATTTCAGTCCTTTCCAGTTGTTACTATGAGGGTGTGGCCCCAGCTAGGGGCCCCTTTCCCTCTGCTTTCCTATTTAGGCCTCAGTCAAAGAACTTGCCTTTGAAGATTTCAGAATGACCAACCTGGTCCCATTCCTGCCCAGAAGGCATTTTGGCACCAGGTGTAATAGTACATTCTTGTCATCCAAGCAACTGGGCAGCTGAGGCAGGAGGAAGACTAGTTTGAGGTTAGCCTGGACTGCATAGTGAAACTTTGTCTCAAAAACAAACCCCAACGCGTTGGTTTCATTTCTCTTTAAAATAATTCCTCAAAATACCCTTGAGTGTGGTGTTGGCATACGCCTTTAATCCCAGCAATTGGGAGGCAGAGGCCTGAGTTTGAGGCCAGCCTTGTCTGCAGATTGAGTTCCAAGACAGCCAAGGGCTACGCTGAAAAACAAAACAGAACAAAAACAAACCCTTGACAGGGAGAGGATTTCTGAGGAGGAGACTGAAACTAACACCAGCCACAAAGTCTTCACGTGCTTGAAGGGCTCATGTTGGCTTCCTGCTCTTATCCCAAACCACAGTCCTCTGTCTTAAGCTACATCTCCCCAGAGACAATAAAAACACAGGGCAAAGGGCCATAAGAGTAAAGTTAAACTTTACTTTACAGTAATTTTTTTTCTATATACAAAGAATTACAGTACATGTTTATGGGGACTCCTAGACAGGGTTCCCTTCTTTTTTACTAGGAGGTTCACTTTCAGCTGACAATCTGTTGGGGGGTGAGAACACAGTGATGGACCTTGGCTGAACCCTTTTCCCCATTTAAAAAATAGAGCTTTCTGGTCAGCTTTCTTCGCCAAGACCTAAAAAGCTGCTTTTCCATGAGCTCCTAGGTGCTGTACCCACCCAACCTCCACACTCACCTACATACACAAGGCGGACCACCACACCCTGGAGACCACAACACCAGGACCCTTGGTCCCTACTCTGCCTCTGTGTAGCTGTGCTAAAAGCTCCCACAAGCTACTTACAACTGGAGCCCCTTATAGTTAGGTGTTCTTAAAGTCACAGGAAGGCTGCTCTAGGGGAAGGACCACAAAAGAGTTTAATATGTTGCTTATGTTGGTAAGGAAACATCTCTTTTGAGGTTGTAGTTGTCTAAATAAAATAAGCTCTTCCAACTTTCTTAAGAAACATTGCCCTTATTCACAAGCAACTGAGATGCTGCCACGAGGGGAAGAGGTAGAGAAGCAGAAGGTAATGGACACCCCATACCCATAGTTCTCTTTTAACCTGTCCTAGGCAGGGTGGGACAAAGGCTATGGACAAGGTGACCTCTAGCCCTGAGAAACTCAGTGGCCATCATCTGGATATGGGAACATCTCTTCCACCTCCAGATTGTACTGAACATTCCAGGGTCGGGTTGGCAGGCATCAATGATGCTCTGCCTGCCACCTCTCTCTCAAAGAGCTGAAAGGAACCTATATAAATTACCTTCCCAGAGGGGAACCCAGGTTTCTCACGTCACCACTCCCTCAACCCTTGGCAGTGCTTATTTATACCATGAGATTAGCACCATCATTACATTGTTTTGTGTACAAAGCAATTATTTGTATTTCAATTTACACTATAGAACTTTGCAGTGACCTAGGAAGCTCAGCTGAGAGCAAACTGGTCACAGCCAATCAAAGCTCCTCAGTAGCTACCTAGGTCTAACTGACTTGGGGTATTTAACATGAATAGCTCAATTTTAACAACAGGAAATTCCTGCTGCTGCTCCTGTCCTCTGATCTAGGAGGTGAGGACACTGTGCCTCTTTTTATCCAATGACAACATCCCCAAGAGGATGATAATAACAAGTTTGAGAAAACTTAATTTTTTGGAGCCAGGGGCAAGACCCATCTAATTCAATGCTCTCCTGATTGCCTTACATGGACAACCTAGACATCCTTCCTGTCAGTTCTGGAACACTGGAATACAACCTGGAAGTCCAGCTTCAGTGAACTGACAGTGCAGAGCCACGAAGGCTCACTACTGCACTTCAAGCCCAGAGTGTAGTGTGTGGGGTAGAGGGTATGAATACCAAAGATACAGAATTGGTTTAAAAAAAAAAAAATTGACACAGTGACTTAAATAATTTCAAACTCAGTAATTTTAGGGAAGCGGACGTCTAAAATACTTTTTTGAGGGGTAGGAGGTCTAAATGATGGCTATCTTCTATTAAAGTGGGTTGGCTCCAACAGGAAGAACAAATGAAGGATGCAAATTTCAACAATTCCCTTATTTTTTCCCTAACTAAACAAGAAGTTTTAGTCACTACCTAGGAGCATTTCTGCCTTTGGCTTGTCCCTGGAAAGTACTTCCTGGGTGCTGTCTCACAGGCAGAGTCTCTGGCCATCCAAATTTCAAGCACTCAGCCAAATGCCAATGCCAAAATACCACCTTGTTCACAGATCATAAGTTTCTAATAAGATTTTCTCTGCTGCCAATTCACACCCTCAAAGAAAGGGTTATATAAGATTCAAAAGAAGTCCCTAAGAACTGCAAAGTCACCCTCTTCCCACTGTCACACTCAACCCTGCCCCCCAGCACTTGTGTTACTAAAGGATATAGTAACCAATGCCCACTTTTAACACTGCTCTCATGCTGTTATCTGTGGGTCTCTGCTCAAACGTCTAGTTTCCACTCAACAACCTAGAGTCTTTCAGTGGCCCTGGATAGAACGTGCCTGTCATTAGAAAGACTGTTCCTCACCCGAAATCCTCCACCCCACAAGTACACAGCTCAGAGGATGTTTTCCTAGCAGGTCTGGAAGGAAGGCTCCAAAGAATGGTGGTGAATGGAAATATCAAAACAAAACACAAGTGGCCAGCTGTGACCCCCAACCCTCCCTTCCTGTCCTGTGAGACATTTCTGGACAGCTGTCAAAGCCAATTACCTACTGAAACCTATTTTAGAGAAGCTATGTCAAGACCAAACTTCTCCACTTAAAATTTTTACATAGCCTGCACCCCCCACCCCCCAGTTCACAGTTTATTTCATGAAACAGAGCTACGGTAATCAATACACAACAGTGAAAGGAGACTGACAGTGCAGTGCAGTTATCTTCTGATCACAACTACAGATGACAGGAGAGCAAAGGGCACAGGACTGGCACCAAGCAAACCTACTCACACAACCTAAGAAATCAGGGAGGGGCCGACTAGCTGCAATTATATACTTATATTCTCACACATGATAAATACGTAATATAGTGAACTTTAATGTCCTGGGTGAATTTCTTTAAAAATATTTTCTTCATGGTTTAAAATTTCTTTTAAAAGAAAATAAGATACTTTATGTTTTCTCTTCCTTTTGAACACAAGAGCTTTTTCACTCTGATGATGTGGAAAGAGGATGAAAGGGGAGAACTAGGCAGGTGTAATTCCGAGGAGATTCTGATGTCTTAGTGAAGTGCAGGGATCAGCCCCAAACTCGGGACAGCCCTGTCCTAGCCTCATCCTCTGCCTGAGTTCAAGTGTCTCCACCCCAGAGACAGACTTGGGGAACTAAAAGCGGAAACTCTCTTGATTTTTCTATAAAGCACAAATGCTTCTATAACCACCACTGTCCTTTCCTCTTGAGAAGTGGTGGGAGCTAACCTCAACAGGAACCTGAGGAGACTGGTACACAACAGAATCCTGCTGAGGATGTAAAAGCCGTAACTGAGACACAAGGGCCAGATGGTTTGGCCAGGAGATGCCATTTGTTGGCAAAGCAGACAGGTAAACACATGGTCTGAGGACAAAGAGCAGGTGGGTTTGATAGAACTAGCCAAACAGCACTTCCTGTTGGGAGTTTGTGAGCTGGGGAAATGGTAGGGCAGGGTAGCACCAACAGATTCCCAGCCCTTGGGCCCCAGCTCAGGGCAGCAGTAACAGATAATCAGCAGTTATGAGGAGTCATCTCTTAGGTTGGACATTGCTCCAAACACCATGTCTGTCCAGTCTTGGGGAAGGGTTCTGGCTTGCCACTGAGCAAAGTTACCAGGCACATGCTCTCTGTAACAGAAAGCACAGCAATTCACAGGGAGGTGGAGAGGGTTCCCTCTCTTCAGGTAGGAGGGCGTGAGATTGGGATCTGACACTCTTCTTGAAGGTGTGTGTCTTGCTAGGAGCTTGCCAGAAATTCCCTCTGTCCACTGCCCGAGACTGAAGTCTGAAAGCACCTGAGTGTCTGAGGAAATGTGGATGGGGTAGGTTCTCACACAAAGATTACTGGTAGAAAAGAAAGGTAAGCTTGCCAACTGTCCTTGTCCACTTCTGGGACACTACATTCTCAGAGACCAGCTCCCTCTAACCAGACGCTCCTCCAAGGACAAATCTTCAGACTGCAATACACAGAGACTGCAGCAGCTGCCCCAGCCAATAGCTCACCTTGGCCTTGATGTAGCACCTTTCCATTTATAGAGAAGAGCTACACATATGTATACATGTTCCAACCAGGAAACATGTTCAATACAGACACATTCTGGGACAGGGACACACACACACACACACACACACACACACACACACACACACACACACACACACACGAGAACGAACCTGGAAACCCATGACCTAGCAGTACTTTCTGTTGTTTCCTGGCCAGAGGTCCTTGAAATCTGCCTGGGGACCCAAGCAGTCAAGTTAGGCTCATTGGGATCAGGCCTTATTAATCCTGTCTTACACAAATGACTAGCCTCCTGACCTAGCACACATCAATACTTAAGAAACTGCCAATGATTTGAATGAACATCAGATCCGCCTAAAGGTTTATCAGGTGTTCTCAATGGGGCTCGGCTGGGCCAGGGAAATAGCCTTGAGAGCCCCTATACTTTCCAACTTGACCAGTGGAATTGAATTCCATGCTTGATTCCAGAGTGGACTTTTTATTTTAAGTTGACCATATGTAAAAGTCAGGGCAAAGAGACTCAAGTCTGTCTGTCTCTTGACTGGGGCCCGACGAATTTCCATACACGGTTCACACAACCAAAAGTCCCCATGGGCTAATGTCACGAGAGTTCTGAGTGTTGGGATATAAGGAAAGAAGAACAGTGGAAGTGTGGGAATATGTCTGTTTTCCAAAAAGGAAAAAGAAAGGAAGATTTCCCGCCCCAAATGGTACCCTGGGGACAGCTTGCCTGGTTATGTGATATTTACTGTATTATTTCTGTTCTGACTCTGCACATTTGCGACTAGAAGGAGCCTGGTTAAGAGCTTGAATTGTATTTTGCTCTGGTTTGGGGTCTTGCCCTCTTCCAAGGGACCAGCAAGTTTGTGACAATGTCTGTGTTCCCCCAGCAGACCAGCAAGCCTGGGCTAGTGTTTGTCCAGCCACTATGGGCCAAAGCCCTGCCCCTGGTGAGGCTTTTCCCAGACCCCAGGGACTTTGTTCTGTGGTTGCCAACTTCTTCTCTTCACTGGGGAGAGAAGCTGGGATCTTCCCAAGAGACCTGAAGGACTGCCCACTCTTGGTTGTAAATCCTCTAGATAGCTGCTTCACCTGTTTAACCAGGCCCGGTGCTGGGCTGGGAGGTCCTGGGGTCTGCTCAGCTCCCACAGAAGCTCTTCCTGAGGCTTGAGTTGCTGATTCATATAAAAAAGCCTTGGCAGAAGGTGGAGAAAGAAGTCTGGCCTGGGTGAATGATTTAACAGCCTGCCAAGGGTGTTCTGAAGGAGCTGCTGCTTTTCCAGCGGGCTGAAGGGAATCTGACATGCTGCCTTTTTCCACAGCTCGTGGCATATGCCCCAGACCTTTGCTAGATGGCCTTGAACTTGACTCCAGCACAGGCATCTTTTCATCTGCCTGTGGTGTGACTTCATGAGGAGAACCAGCCCGCTCCTTCTGGCGAGGAGTTAGGTCTATGAGATCCATCACTAAAGCAGCTCTGTGCTTTGACTGAGTGTTCTGGTCCACAGGCCTCAGTGCCTTTTCTTTAGCTACCAGAGACTGGACCACAGCTGATAGTACTTTCTCAGGAGGTGGAAGTCTCTGGGTCAAAGAGGCATGGGATTTGTCTGGTGGCCTGTCAGAAATCTGGGGTTTGGGACTGCTGGTGGTCAGCAGTCTGTCTGGTGGTGAAAGTCTCAGGCCAGTGGGGGCTGGAGTTTTCTCCACTGACTGGGACTTTGGGCTGGCAGCACCTATGGATTTATCCAGCCTTGGGTCAATCATTCCCAGAGGTCTTTCCAGTGGCAGGGACCTGACTAAGGGTGAGGAGCTTGACTTGGTCATTGGAGAGGCTTTGTCAGATGGCTGAGGTCTTGGTCCTTCTTTAGCAGGTGGCCTGTCCTGTGGCCTCTGGCTGGATACCAAGGACTTGGATTTGGTCCCTGACCCAGCAAGGTCTCTGACCCTATCTAAAAGGTGGGAACTAGACTCAGTTCTCTCAGGTCTTTCAGGTAGCAGTGGCCTCTGACAAGTCCCTGTCAGAGCTTTTTTGGAGACTGGCAGCATCTGGGTAGCATCAGCAGGTGGCTGATCAGACATCTTGGGCCCCTGAGTAGCCATCCCTGATGACTGCTCTGTCAGTTGAGTGCTGGGACTTGGAGGCAGTGGCACTGGGGGAGGCACATACTCACGGATCTCCCCTGGTTCCAGAGGGTTGGGCCCACAGGGGTCATGTTCAGTACAAGACAGACGCCCATCGAGCTTGGAAATGAAAAGCATCCCTTCTCGATGCTGCTTGCAAAAGGAGCTGGGGCACATCTCACAAAAGGAGGCTGCTTCCTTCCCACATACGTCACACTGGTGCCAAGGACACTCCCATTTCCCTGAAAACAAGAGTGAACAAAGGCTTAGGGAAAATAGATGCATGTGAGATGAGCCATGCTCTGAGACTGGTCCACAGGAGTGGCTGCAAAGCCTCCTTCAAACTGCCACATTCTTCAGAGTTTGTGCCACTCACCTGCCATTACTCCTTCCCCAGAATTTCAGCTTCCTCTTCTGCACAAAACAATATATAAAATAACAGCAAAGAATCAAGGTTGAGTAACTAAGTATCAACTAAACACAAGCAAGAGACTATTTCTAGCAAGGGCTGTAACAGTAGGAAACCAACCAAATAAACCCCAAAGTTCCTCTTAGATGAAAAAATTATTACTACTTCTGCATGTTTGTCCTAAAGGAGCTTTTATTATTTAGTTTGTTTCGTGTTATGTGAGGCAGGGTCTCACTATGTGGCCCAGGGTTGCCTTGACTTACAGTTCTAGGTACACCACCGTGCCCAGATCTAGACGGCTTTTAAACATCCACTCAAAGAGGAACATTCCAGCCTTTTAACATTCTTGCTTATTTTGTTTTCAACAGAAATAGGATAAATATACACAGTTGCAAAAATAATAAGGGAAGCCGACTACTCACCTTTGCTGAATTTTAAGTCTTGAAACCAGCACAAAGTTTTATCTGGATTGTCCATGCAGAAATAGGGGAAGACCTAAAACTAACCTAAACTTGTATCTATTTCCCCATGAAGCATGTGAGTGTTCCCACTTCCAAATAAACTAGGCTAGAACTCACTGATGGAACTCAAGCAAGATCATGCCAGTCCTATCCTGTGCCATGAAACAAAGTGATTCTAAAAAAATCCCATTTCTACTTCCTGGTACTGACATTTCAACACAATGGCTTTGACCTTCTTCTACTTGACCTTCTGTTCTATCATGACCCTGGACTATACAAAATGAAAGAAAATCAATTCAGAAACACACTCCACTGACTCCTTAAGTTCTCCACTTTGTCTACATTTTGGAAACAGGCATTAGTGATGTATATTTATTAACATCCCTCTAAAATAGCTCCATATGTATCTGTTGTTTGTATTTTACAATAGTTAGCCTGTCCAAATGGCTAAAATCCTAAGACCCACATCACTGCCCAAAGGATATCAACTTTTCCCAAGACAAATTCCTGGTTCCCTCATCTACCTGAGCAGCTGTCTTATGTGTAAACTGACACAACTACTTCATCTACCAAGAAAAAGTCTACACTGCAGGGTAGGAGACTCCTGCAGGGTTGAGAGAAACTGTGGGTAAAAGGTTGTTGACCCAGCTTTCAGTGACTTGCACATCTAAAGTCTCTACTATGCCTTACTCTTCCTCTGGAAAGGAAACATGACTTAATGGCCTTAGGGTCAGAATACCTGTCTGTCTTTCCATGCAACTCTTTCAACTATCTGCAACAAGCAATCGCATCAATCTTCATTTGCCTTTTCCTCATGCACATATGGACAGAACACAAATCTTTATTGCCAAAATAAAAACACGGACCAGATCTCAGATCCCTCAACAGTTGACATGTGCTCACAAATAGCATTCTCTTTCAGACTGAAGCAAGTTGCATCAGATCCGGAAAACTCTGACAGAGAACAAGGAGTGCTCTGAATGGACTTTGGCACCAACCTGCTGGTCGCTTGGTCAGATTGAGACAGTCGGCATGATAAACTTTTGGGCAGCCTGGCTTCTTGCAGGAGACGAGCTGACCAGCATCCCCACAGCTGAAACACTCATCCTCTCTTTCCTTTGTGACTTCACCCTGGCTCCTGCGCTTCCCATGTTGCTTCTTCTTGAATTTCCTTGACTTTTCTTCCGTGACAATGGGTTGATTCTGGAGGCCAGATATTGATCAGTCAACAACCTGTCAACAACTCAGGTATGCAAATTTTATTTTGGGGTGGGGGAGTTTCGAGACAAGGTTTCTCCATGTAGTTTTGGTTCCTGTCCTGGATCTCAATCTGTAGCCCAGGCTGGCCTCGAACTCACAGAGATCCACCTGGCTCTGCCTCCTGAGTGCTGGTATTAAAGGCATGTGCCACTACCGCCCAGCTTGTTTTAAGAAAAAATTTGACTCCATCCACTTATTGTGTGTGTGTATGTGTCTGTGTATGGCACAAATGTGCCATGGTGTGTGTGTGTGTGTGTGTGTGTGTGTGTGTGTGTGTGTGTGTGTGTGTGTGTGAAGATCAGGGGACAACGTGAAGGACTCGGTTCCCTACTTCCTTCCACCTTTAAGTCTTTGGAGACTGAATTCAGGTCATTAGGCTTGGCAGCCAGGCAGGGTAGTGCATGCCATTTGGGAGGCAAATGCAGGTGGATCTTTATGAGTTTGAGGCTAGCCTACTCTACATAGTGAGTTCCAGGACAGCCAGACCTACATACTGAGATGTCTCAAACAAACAAACAAACAAACCAAAACAAAAAAGAAAAAGAAGCCATTAGGGGTCTGAGAGATGGCTCAATAGATAAAGGCCGTGGTCTTCAAGGCAGCGCTCACATGATTCCTGTAGGTTGTCTTCTAACCACCCTATAACACTCACACATTTTGTTATGTATGTTTTGTATGTACACATACAAAATAAATAAATCTAAGAGAAAAACAAATGAACAAACAAAAAACAAAACAAAAAAAACCCTTCAACGAAAAACAGCAGCCAGGGATGGGGTTGCATACTTGTAATCCCAGCACGTAAGGGGCAGAGCCAGGAGGACAGACTCAAGTTGAAGGCTATGCTGGACAAGACAGTGAGAGTCTCTTTTAAAAAAGAAAAAGGGGTAGGAGGCACTGGAGAGCTGCACTGACTAGTCTTCCAGAGGACTTGGGTTTGATTCCACAAGGAGATTCACAACTGTTTCTAATTCCAGTTCTAGGGGCTCCAATGCCCTTGGTGGTCTCTCAGGATACTGCATGCATGTGATACAGACATCTACACAGGCAAAACACGCACACACATAACATCAAAGACAAATCTCCTTAACAGTTACAGCACTGTAACTCAGTTAAACGTACATAAACACAGGGAGATACAATAATGATTATACTTTGTTATAATAGTGAGATTAAGTTTTTTCTCTCTATATATTTTTTGGTGGTGAACCTATGGCTTAGCATGGGCCAGGAAAGCATCCTACCACAGAGCTACATCATCAGTCCAATAATCTATATCTATCTATGGTACTATAGTATAATAAACTCTACTGATGCCTCTAGAAAGAAAAAAGACTACCACACACCTAAGGAATCTAAGTAGCTTAGTAGAAGGTATGAGGTGAGCTGAGACCACAAAAACCTACAGTTTTTATTTTGTAGCTTTTTTTTTTTTTTTTTGCTAGAAAAGTACTATTAAGTCAAAATTGCTCAAAACACTACAGCAATACCAACTAGATCACGGGACTGCTCAGTAAACTGTCAGTGGTACTACTGATAATCAATTCCATTATTCCAAAGACTAGCTTCTTACAATAAAGACTCATCCCTAGCACTATCTCTAAGAATGGTACAGGGAAGACATACCATTGTTGCTAATATAAAAGTTTAGAAAGTGGTACCTTTGGCCTCACACCCAAGAAGCCACTGCAGTTCGGGGCTCCACATTTGCAGACAGTTTTTCCATTCCCAAGACACTCTAGGTTGTAATTGAAGGTAAGTTCAGTGCCTGCATAAAGACCACAAAAATATTAACATATATGGTTATATTACTTAATTATAAATGACAATAACTTCTAATTGAATAATTTTACTTTTATTTTTTGTTTGAAACAGGGGCTCTCTTTGTAGTCCTGGCTGTCCCGGAAATCAGATATCCTCCTGCCTCTGCCTCCTGAGTGCTAGCATTAAAGACATGCACTACCACATCTGGGTGAGAATAACTTTAAGAAAACAAAATTTTAAACGTGTTATTAATTACCTAATGTAACAGATTTTAACACCCCCCCCCGCCCCCCCATACAGGGATCCCCTGTGTAACAGCCCTGGCTGTCCTGGAACTAGCTCTGTAGATCAGGTGGCCTTGAACTAACTGAGATCTGCCTGCCTCTACCTACCAAGTGCCAGGATTAAAGGCGAGCGTCACCACGCCTGGTATATAACAGAAATTTAAGCAGCAAGTGATATTTAAAATAAGCTTTATCTTTAAAGTAATATTTCTCTCACTTTTCCATCGTTTTTCAACTATTTAGATTCAAAATACACTAACTCACTAATAAAAGTAAACATGTAACTTGATGGTAGGATGTTGGTACACACTGTAATCCCAGCACTCAAAACAGAGGCAGGAAGGTCAGTGTATAGTGAGTATCACACTAGCACTCAATAGAGTGGGACTACATCTTAACAAACAGGTCTGAGGAGGCGGCTCAGTGGTTAAAAGCACTTGCAATGTAAGCATGAGAGCCTGAGTTTGAATTCTAAGAATCCATCCACATGAAAGCTGAATATCTGAGTGGAGACTGGAGAATTGCCATGAGCTCAAACAACAGAGAACCAACAAAGAAATCCTGTCTCAAAGCAAGGTAAAGGCAGGGACCATCATCTGATGTCTTCTGATCTACACACACACACACACACACACACACACACACACACACACACTCACTCACTCACTCACTCACTCACTCACTCACTCACTCACTCACTCACTCACTCACTGTCAGTATCCAGGCATGGGGAATGCAAACTGGAAGAGCCCCTGCCAGTTGTGTGTCCCTGTGAACCTGTGAATATATATACCTTATCTGGCAGCATTCAGGGGAAGAGGCATTTCACTGCAAAGTAATACTATAAGGAGAGTAAGATCACAGATGGGTGATACATGCTAGTTATGACATAACCTGGTTAGGGGATCTGAACTTGGAATAGCTTTATTCATTCATAGAGAGACAGTATCTCGTGTAGACCAGGCAAATCTTAAACCAACAGTGTAGTCTTCCTGTGTCCACTTCTGGAGTACTGAGATTATAAATATGTGCTACCACAGCAGGCCAAATATCCCATGTTATAAATGGAGAAATAATATCATACATCTATTCAGAGAATACAACACAATATCCACAGCAGTATGTAAAGTTTAAAGACTGGTATACAGGACTAGGAGCATAGCTTGCTTGCCTAGTATGTGAGAAACCCTGGGTTTATCCCTAGCAAACAAAGCCTCCCCACAACTAAAAAACAAACAAACAACAACAAAACCAAAATTGTAGTAAATTAAGGCACAAAAATGTACTCTTTGAGCTGGGAAAGGTAGTTTACACCTATAATCCCAGATGTTCAAAGGCTGAATTAGCCCCTGTCTTAAACAATAACAAATCCCAATAAAGCAAAGAATGAATCAGACCTGACTTTAGTGAATCAGAACTGAAAGGAAATAAAACATATTAAACACTCAAACTCAAAAGTAGGTAGGCCTAACAGATATGAGAATGTTATATGAATACGAATACATGTATTTTTTATAACTTCACAGCTAACATGCAAGGTTAATCATTCATACTCAAAATCATCAAGTTTCAGGAATATTAGTAATTGCAGACCGATATTCTATTTTTTTCCATTTTTTTATTTTATGTGCATTTGTGTTTTGCTTGCATATATGTCTGTATAAGGGTGTCAGATCTTGAAATTACAGATGGTTGTGAGCTGCCATGTAGGTGCTGGGAATTGAACCCAGGTCCTCTAGAAGAGCAGTCAGTGCTTTTAACCAATGAGCCAACTCTCCAGCCCCAATATTCTATTTTTTATTTAAAATTTTAGAACATTTGTTTTGTCTGTGTGCATATGAGCGAGTCTGTATGTGTATGTATGTATATGGGGGTACATGTGTGGAGGTCAGTGGACAACTTGTGACTTGGTTTTCACACTATGTGGTTCTGGAAATCCAACTCAGGTCACCAGGGTTGGCCAGTAAGCCTTTACCTACTTAACCATTTTGGCAGCCCTGATATATACATTCCAACAGTGACACCAAGAAAGAGGGTTTTCAACAGATGCTAGAAATCATTATTTCTTTAGCTGAACAAAATATAAAATCAAGTGACTTATACTTAGACTCATATTGCAGAATTAAGAATCATATGTAGTTAGATCACTGAGAGGCTGGAAAAAAAACCCCAAACAAACAAACAAACAAAACGCCACAAAAACCAAGACCAACCAGGGTTACCAGCAAGGCTGTGGCCCCACCTCACACTGCCTGTAGGATTACTGGTCCAGATGTGGGTGATGCTACTTATCCTATTCTCATTTTTTTTTTTTTTCCCCCGAGACAGGGTATCTCTGTGTAGCTTTGCGCCTGTCCTGGAACTTGCTTTGGAGACCAGGCTGGCCTCGAACTCACAGAGATCCACCTGGCTCTGCCTCCCGAGTGCTGGGATTAAAGGCGTGCGCCACCACCGCCCGGCCCTATTCTCATTTTAACAGTTCATATGAGAGGGGCAGTGGTGTGCCACAGTGCAGGAGCAAATGCCTAGCATAAATGAGCTACAAAGCAGGGCATGGTGGCCTACATCTTTAATCCCAGCACTGGAAGACAGAGGCAGAACTCCAAATTCAAGGGTAGCTGGTCTACATAGTAAGTTTCAGGCCAACCAGAACTACACAGTGAGATTGTCTTAAAACCAAAACACAACACTAACAAACCAACCCAAAATACAATAGAGGACTGGAGAGATGGTGGTTAAGAGTGGTTAATGCTCTTTCAGAGGTCCTGAGTTCAGTTCCCAGCACCTACATCTAGCAGATCACAGCCACCTCTAACTCTAGCTCTTCTAACTCTGGTGCCCCCCCACCACACCCCACCCCCCCGCTTCTGGACTCCATCGGCAACCACACACACTTAGAGACACATACACACATATACGTAAATTAAAAAAAAAAAATCTTAAAAATACAACAAAAAACTGTCTAAGCTAGTCTGCTATCACAGCCCTAGAAAAATTAACTTTGAAAAATCAGGTATTTTCTGTACATTTAAAAACTACCGCCGGGCGGTGGTGGTGCATGCCTTTAATCTCAGCACTTGGGAGGCAGAGGCAGGCGGATCTCTGTGAGTTCGAGGCCAGCCTGGTCTACAGAGCGAGATCCAGGACAGGCACCAAAACTATACAGAGAAATCCTGTCTCAAACAAACAAACAAACAAACAAACACACACCACCATACAGCTGGGCAGCGGTGATGCACGCCTTTAATCCCAGCGCTCTGGAGGCAGAGGCAGGGAGATCTCTGTGAGTTCAAGGCCAGCCTGCTCTACACAGCAAGATCCAGGGCAGGCACCGAAACTACAGAGAAACTGTCTCAACAAACAACAAAAAACTCCCATAGAGAGACTGTTCAAACATTAGGTCCAAATAAATACCCTTTTCCATATACCGTAAGTTGATCCTCAGTTACTGTCACACAAGGGAAAATATCCACCATATAAATACACCATCAAATGAGTCACTCGTATCAGATTACTCACGAGTATCTCAAGACGTGCTTGGGGTTAAATCATCTCACTCCTACATTCTACATGACCATGATAGAACAGAGTAATAATAGTATGTCCAAACTACCACTTCTCGGGTTATATTAGAAATCCGTGGTTTCATAACATAATCCTGGGGGTTGGTGAGAAGTTCAGTGGTAAGATGTTTGGTGAGTATACAGGTTCCCAACCCCATGACTTGAGCCTCTCACTCCCTGAAGACATGGAGATGGGTGGCAGAAGACTCTTTGATGTACGTGGTGATATTGTGGCAAATGTGGACGGCAAAGTGAAAAAGGAGACTGGAGAAGCTACAAGTCTCTAAGGCAGGCCAGTTTTGGGGGACTTCAAGAAGCAGAGGCTATGAGTTCAAGGGGAGCCTGGTCTACATAGCGATTTATAGGCCAGCCAAGGCTATATACAGTGAGACCCTGTCTCAAATTAAAAGTTAAAGGCCTAGATTGTTTGTTTGTTTGTTTTTTTAACCTTAAACCTACTTATGTTCAACCTTAAAGTCACTATGATAAATAAAAGAAACTGGTCACAAAAGGACTATTATATGATTCTCTTTATACAAAGTTCCTGCCAAGCCAGGCATAGTGGACCTTGCTTTTAATTCCAACAGAAGCAGGGAGAGTTCAAGGCTAGTCTGGTGTACACAATGAGAAAACAAAAAAAAACAAACTGGCCCTGGAGAGATGGTTAAGAAGAGCACTGACTGCTCTTCCAGAGGACCCAGGTTCCATTCCCCACACCCAAATGGCAGCTCTGTCTGTAACTCCAGTTTGCTGGCAAATCACCAGTACATAAACAAACAAACAAACAGGAACTGGGCGGTGGTGGCGCACACCTTTAATCCCAGCACTTGGGGCACTCGGGAGGCAGAGGCAGGCGGATCTGTTGAGTTTGAGGCCAGCCTGGTCTACAGAGTGAGTTTCAGGATAGCCAGGGCTACACAGAGAAACCCTGTCTCCAAAACCAACCAACCAACCAAACAAACGACCCCAACCCTCTCCTCCACTAAGAAAAGGGGGGAAAAATCCCAGTCAAATTCAGAGGCAGAATTTGTTAAGCAGGAGGGTTACTGAAGACAGGAAAGCAGGAAGAGCTTCAGGTGGGAAGATGGAAGTCTTCGGGGGCAGAAGTTAAGAGTGATACAAATAGGTATACCTGGGAACTGCACAGCTAAGATGGTTAAAATTATAAATTATATCTCCATGTTATCAGATTAAAAAGAGAAAAACCCTGGAAAACAATATACAAAATAGAAAAGCATGCTAAAGTACTACCTGTAAGTATCACTATGTAGCCCCTGGTACTGGAACTCACTCTGTAGACTAGGCTGTCCTCGAACTCAGAGATCCACCTGCCCCTGCCTCCCGAGTGCTCGAGTGCTGGGACTGAAAGTGTGTGCCACCATATGCCCTGCATCACCTAGAACGTCTTTACATGTCTACATATCCTTGGCAATTGGGAGATTTACTGTCCAAGTAAAGATTTACTGTCCGATTTTTAGATGTAAATGAAGAACTTGAAACCCAGGCCTGAGCTCCAGGGTCTTTAATGACCTTACCTGCTTTAATGTCACTCAAAGCAAAAAGACCAACTCGGGTGTCTCCATTCACAGACCACTTCTGTGTTTCGCAGTTAGGCTGGCAGCAGTGGTTCATGAACCGAGCGTAGTTTCCTTTCGGACCAGCATCAATAATTCGATCCTAGAATTTCAAGAAAAGCTACCTGTTAGATTTCCTGAAACCTCTGCTATGTAGAAAACTAACTACTTTGTATAATAAGATGAAGTGGATCCTTTTAAAAATCAAGATTTCTCAGAGTGGTGGTTCTACCACCAACTCCACTTGAAGGTTATGCTTCAGATATACTAAAGAGGAAAGTCTATGTGGGTTTAACAATGTGTTGTTATGACAAGCCCACCTAGGGGACTCTGATCTATACTGAAGTTTAAGAACCACTGCCTCAGAGAAGCAGCAGCTTATTCCGTTTTCTAAATTAGAAAGTTTATAGACCAGGGGTACATTAAAAATCATTTAATGAAATTTAAGTACTTAATCAGACACCCTACACCAAAGTATAATTGAGAATGTCTTGCAGTAAAGACTCATAAACACAAGAGTACAACTTAAAAAATATTTACAAAGGTAAATGCCAGGAAAAGTTGTTAGTCTAAGCATGACGGGGCACCAATGTAATCCCAGGTACTGAGAATGCAGAGGCAGAACAAGAGCAACTTCTAGGCCAGCTGAGGTAACCTACTAAGTTTCTGATCCAAATTCAACTATAACAATCTAACCTAAAGTAACTAACATGAAATAACAAAGCATAAAATAACAAACAAAATGTCATAACATAAATAAACAGAAGTAAAATAGGCTGAAGATGTAGTTCAGTTGTACAATGTTTGACTAGGGTGCATAGGTTTCTAAGTTCAGTTCTCATACTAGCAAAGGGAGAACTCCAAAATCATTGTATAGGAAAAAAATTCACTGGAATCTAATATTCAAGCACAAAGAACTATAGATATATAAGAAATAGGCACACTTGAAAATTTCTTCTAAAATATAACTCCAATAACCCTAAAATAAAACATTTAAAAAAAAAAAAAAAAAAAAAAAAAAAACCAGCCGGGCGGTGGTGGTGCACGCCTTTAATCCCAGCACTCGGGAGGCAGCGCCAGCGGATCTCTGTGAGTTTGAGGCCAGCCTGGACTACTAAGTGAGTGCCAGGAAAGGCGCAAAGCTACACAGAGAAACCCTGTCTCGAAAAACCAAACCAAACAAACAAAAAAAAAACCAGATACTTACTTGATTTCTTAAGTTTTACAATTTACATACACCTGTGGGTCACGACCCCAAAAAGATCATCAGAAAATATAGATATCTACATTACGATTCATAACAGTAGCAAAATTATAGTTATAAAGTAGCAATGAACACAAGGAACTGTAAAGGGTTGTAGCTTTAGGAAGGGTGAGGACCACTGACGATCATCACAATATACTAGTCCTCCAGTTTGTAAAATAAAAGGGTAAAGGATTATTAACTCTTGTGGCCTTTTCATATACTTTTATGGCATTAAAAAACCCCAAATTATATTAGACCATTCAAAAAGAGTACTAAAAACAGCTTTACTGTTAAAAATGAGAAATTTAACCCTCTCCAGAATCAAGATCAAGAAAATTCTCATGTATATGGACAGAGTCTAGAACTTGGGTCTGGGACAAATACTTACTTTATCTAGAGTAAGCATATAGAAATTAGTGATATCATGTTCTTGTGCATAACGGATTCGAGCTCTGCATTCCTCTTCATCTATTAGCTCACCCACATATTCATTCACAAATTCACCCTAGAATAAGAAACAGTTCATAACTTAATGGTAAAGTACACTGGTGTTTACATGTGCAACTTTTATTTAAAAAATAATATGGATGATTCTCCACAGTAGACTATGTGTACTTTATTATCTATGGTGCCTTAATCACTTCAGGAAGAAAATCACTTCCTCATTCCCACCAGCAGAAAAGCCCCAGGGTACAAGGCCCACTCAAGAACCACCAGAATTAGAAACTGAGAAGCAATTAAAAAAAAAAAAGTCGCCGGGCGGTGGTGGCGCACGCCTTTAATCCCAGCACTCGGGAGGCAGAGCCAGGCGGATCTCTGTGAGTTCGAGGCCAGCCTGGGCTACCAAGTGAGTCCCAGGAAAGGCGCAAAGCTACACAGAGAAACCCTGTCTCGAAAAACCAAAAAAAAAAAAAAAATAAAAAAAAAAAAAAAAAAAAAAAAAGTCATTCTGTTACCAGTCTGAGGGACTGAAGCCAGTTTCAACTATTTCATCTTTCTTGGAGCTCGCCCTGCTTACTTTCCTTCTACATTTCATACTATTTTCCACCCTACTCTGGATAACACAACTATACCATTCCAAACTTTAATCCTTACCCTGGCTGGCAAAAAAGATAAATATTTGGTAAATGGCTTCATTGTGCTTCCTAGAAACCTCAACAAAATTCTTTAAAAAAAAATTTTTTATTTTTATCTTATGTGCATTGGTGTTTTGCCTGCATGTATGTCTGTGTGAAGATTCTGGACCCCCCTGAAACTAGAGTTATAAACAGTTGTGAGCTGCCATATGGTGCAGGGAATTGAACCTGGGTTCTCTGGAAGAACAGCCAGTGCTCTTAACCACTGAGACATCTATCCAGCCCCCAACAAAATTCTTTAGAAATTATGAAAATAAGGTTTATTTTACTAAATTGTCAAATAAGACTTATTTTTCTATCCAGAATGTATAATATTATCTGTTAAAAACTTGAACATCCAGGTGTGGTAGTGTACCCCTTTATTCCCAGCACTCAGGAGGCAGAGGCAGGTGGATCTCTGTGAGTTTAATATCAGGACAGCCAGGGCAACAGAGAGAAACCCTGTCTTGAAGAATCAAAACAAACAAACAAAAAAAACCCAACCACCAAAAAACAAACAAACAAACAAAAACAAAACAAAAAAAAAACGCTTGAAGACCCTGGCAACTCCTCTTTGAAAAGCACACACCTACATTCTTGGGCTTCCTTCTCATCTACCTTTCTCAAAATTAAAGGGGCTGGAGAGATGGCTCAACAGTTAAAAGCATTGGCTGTTCATCCAGAGGACCTGGGTTCAATTCCTAGTAATCACATGGTAGTTTAAAACTGCCTGTAACTCCAGTTCCAGGGGATCTGACACTCTCATACAGACATAAGTAAGCAAAATAAATAAATAAATAAAATTAAATAATAATACACACCCCCCACACACACCCCTCTTAATAAACTATTGATTTGCCTTAAATGAAGACGGAGGTGGCAGAGGCCCTCCACATTTCATGTTGAAGATTCCCTGCATTTTCACTGTGAAAGCTCAACACTGCTTATCACACTTAATAACCCCAAACTGTTTCTCCCAATTAAAATATTTTATTAAAATATTATAACCATCTTTTTCCCCTCATCTTCACTAATGGCTCTAGAATTTTCACAAAAGTATAAATAATCTCATAACATCTCCAAGTATTTCTCCCTATTTTATTCTACATAGTGAACACGACCAGTGTAAGGACTTTGATGACAAGATCATCCACTCTCAAGCCTCTCTACACTTTGGAGCTTATTATAATGCCTAACTCTGTGTCCTCTATGTAATATTTTCATGTTCATCAAGAAGTACCACTTACTTCAAGAAAACAACAACAAAGACAACAAAAACCTTATAATTTAAGTTTTTCTTTACCTTCTTAATATCTGTTTTTGTCCGGAGACCCCAGCCCCTCTGTAACGTGCGAAAAATTTCGACCTCTGGATACTGGCGCTTGCTGAAGCACTGGTTCTGACAGCGCCCTCCAGCAGGACACACTGTGGGATGGCACTCATAGAGCAGCATCCGGTTGATGCACTCCGAGTCTATCCCACAGGGGTTCTCATCGGTAGCTTTGCAGTTGCAACGGGGAATTTCTGACAAGTCTGCAGTGAAGATCTGTACCCTGCCAATAGGACGGTTCACCTGGAGAAGTACACAGCATCATGGAAGTCAACGCAGAACAATCCACTTCCTTCAAGTTATGACATTTTACATGGTTTGAAGAACTCAAGACTGAAGCAGCTCATATAATAATAAAGCCATAGTTGATACATGAAATGTAAGTTTCAAGCCAAGTATGCTGGTATATACCTTTAATCCCATCTATTTGGGAGACTAAGACAGGAGATCACAAAGTAAAGGCAAGCCCGGACAACTGGAACCCCATCTCCAATTAAAAAGGGGTGGGGTTGGGAGCCTGTAGCTTGGTGGTAGAGTGCTTCCCTATAACCTCCAGCGCTAGGGAAAAAAAATCAATGTCAAAGTTGCTAGGCCAAAAGAATTTAAAACCAGGGTCTGACATAAGATGTTATAAAAACTAATATATACAAATAATCACCTTTTTTTGGAGGCGGAGGAATCAATTATTTATAACATTTAAAAAAAACCACAAAATGCTAGTAGTAATCCTGAAGAGGGACAGTGAGATGGTTGAGCGGGCATGGAAGCTTATTGCCAAGTCTGACAAGGAGAGAACTCCCACGATTGTGCTGGAAATGACAATGAATTAATTTTTCTATTTTTATGCTCTCAACTCTCAAAGCAATTTTTAAATGTTTACCATGAGCAAGGAAAAGAAAGGAGCCATACAGTGTCACTCTACTACATAGCCTCCCAAGACGGGTCCCCTCACCTTTATATGTTTATAAGGTGGTGGCTTCTTGTCATTCTTTCGATCTTCCTGCAGCTGTCTCAGCTCTTTTTGGGCCTTTAACTCTTCAAACCTTGCTGCAGCTTCCTGAAGAGCTGAGGAGACAAAACAAAATCACTTAACAAAAAACAAAAACTGGGTACACTTATTTTACTCTATCTCCCCTTTTAAGCTAAAGAAAAACCCATGTCTTGCCAGGCAGTGTGGTGTACACCTTTAATCCCAGCATTCAGAAGGCAGAGGCAGGCGGATCTCTGTGAGTTTGAGGTTAGCCTGGTCTAAAAAGTGAGTTTTAGGACAGCCAGGGCTACACTGAGAAACTCTGTCTCGAGACACCCCGTCCCCACAAAAAAAGGAAAGAAGAAAATCCATGTCCTAGCAACAATAGATCAACATTACAATTACATGAAAAACCAAAACCATTATCATCAATTTTAAATGGTCATGTAAGTCTCCAAAGTATTCAGATATAACATTAAGATAAAATAACAACCCATCAACAAATATAAAATACACACTGCTACAGTCAGAGCAAAATAAAACAATTGTGCTGCTTCCTGAAGCACAATTTCCTAGGTGCCATGGGCAATGTGCCTGCTACACTTCTGAAGAATTTCAAAGATGAAGTTCTCCTTTCCTTGTAGGGTCTACTCTCTTAATACTCATTCTGTAAATTTCACCATGGGTTCCAACAACAAGCAGATCTTTCTAGCTAATCTAAATTTACCCAGGGCTTTCATAATCCTTAGATTGCAATACCTAAAAAATCCAACAAATCTGACCCCCAAGTTTTCTCAACATAAACTTTTAATTCATTGTTCTTCAACCAGGATAAAACTGAGAATTTTAATCTTTCCCCCTCAAAGCTCCTTTTTGTAGCTTTTCTGTTACTTCTTTAAAGAAATTCTCTCCTCTAGGTGGTGGTGGTGGTGGTGGTAGCAGCGGTGACGCACATCTTTAATCCCAACACTCGGGAGGCAGAGCCAGGCATATCTCTGTGAGTTCGAGGCCAGCCTGGTCTACAGAGTGAGTTCCAGGACAGGCTCCAAAGCTACACAGAGAAACCCTGTCTCAATCCACCCCCATCCCCAAAAAAGGAAGAAATTCTCTCCTCTGACCAATATTGAATACCTTGTGATTCTTATGCATCTCCTGCCTTGTCTTCAGTGTTTATCCTGTTCCGCTCACAATTCCCTATTATAGTTTAATCTTTTCTTCTTCCTTTTTATTTTTTATTTTTAAAGACAGGGTTTCTCTGTGTAGTTTTGGAGCCTGTCCTGGATCTCACTCTGTAGACCAGGCAGGCCTTGAACTCACGGAGATCCTCCTGGCTCTGCCTCCCAAGTGCTGGGATTAAAGGTGTGTGCCACCACCACCCGGGTTAATCTTCTCTTCTTAGAACTACCCAAACTATTTTCATTCATCATTCCAGATATAGGCTCTCATCGTATAACCTACATTGAGAGCCTGTCTCAAAAGCAAGGAAGAAAAAAGAAAAAAATTGGAATTTCAGTCTAATCACCACAGCCAAAACCCTCCTGCACAACTCACTGAGCAGCACAGAGACCTTAGGCCAATAATGTAACTCGTCCACCCCCCCACCCCACCCCCAGTTTTTTGAGACAAGCTTTCTCTGTGTAACTGCCCTGGCTGGCTTCCAACTCAGAGATCCGCCTGCCTCTGCCTCCCCAGTGCTGGGATAAAAGCGTGAGTCACCAAATCCAGTTTCAAATAATTTAACTTTTAGATGGCCAATTCTTTACCTGCAAAATCAGGATGCTATCTACTCATAGGGTTGCTGTAAAACTTAAAACAGGAGCCGGGCGGTGGTGGCATACGCCTTTAATCCCAGCACTCGGGAGGCAGAGGCAGGCGGATCTCTGTGAGTTCGAGGCCAGCCTGGTCTACAGAGCGAGATCCAGGAAAGGTGCAAAGCTACACAGAGATACCCTGTCTTGAAAAAAACAAAAAACAAAAAACAAAAAACTTAAAACAGGAAACATTGCATAGGCCTGGACAATAATAAATGTTAACTATTACTATGGTTCTCTCTTCAAAGCATCCCTTGGTAAAAATACCTGACTTCAAAACTTCAAATCCCAGACTACCTAGGCTTTTTGTTTAGCATTCGATGCACGTCTCCTTCAACAATCACAGGATGACATTTTGATTGTCAATACCTATGTTAGACTCTCCCACAAAAGACATATTCCTAGAGGGCAAAGTATTTAGCCAGCCCTTGGTCTAGATAGATATAATGACGAATATACCAAAACTTTAACAGGCTCAGACACAGGGCCTTTCCTATACTTTGTCTTGTCTTCTGGCCTCAATGACAGCCAGTTTAGCGCCGACAAAGGTGGTGGTGTAGTCACTATCTGAGACGACAAGACTCAATATTCAAGCCCCTGTAGTATTAGTACCAGAAGTCCAGGTTTTTTTCACAGAAACCATACGGCAAAAAGGGATATACTCACAGATCTAAGAATGCAGGGTAAACAAACATTTGATAAGCTAATATTCTGTTCTAATTTAAAGAACATAGGTCTCTAGAATTATATTGCTAGAAAGCATCAGATTTATTTTTCAAAACTGTTTCTCTGTGTAGCCCAGGCTATCCTGGAACTCAAGAGATCTGTCTGCCTCTGCCTCCTGAGCACTGAGATTAAAGGTGTGCACTATCACCACCTAGCTAGGCATCAGTTTTAAAATCCCTTTCCTCCTCACCATGCAGGCAATTCTTAAGCTTCAATATCCCTTTAACAATAAATATACTGCCTTTCAAAGGATAACTACAGGAAGAAGGTGTTTTTCACTGAGGGAACACCACGTGCCTTGCAGATTTACTTTATCCAGAAAGCTATTCAAAGATTACCCCCTCCCCCCCACCCCCAATTATATCTTAAGGGAAAGACAAGGCTCAAAATTGACTTAGTTGTGCTAATACCAGGGGATATATCTTAGCCTCAGCAGACATTATTGTCTTCAATGCTAAACCAGTTTATTAAAAATCTTTACTTCTCTGCAATTTTAATTGCCTTTATAACTTGTGAAAACATCATCCTGGAACTCACTATGTAATGCAGGGTACCTTGACCCTGCAATTCTTCTGCCTTAGCCTCAAGACCTGGGATTACAAGCAGGCATCACAATACTTCAGACACTCTGAACCATCATATGAACTTGAACACAGAGCAGACACTCAGCTATAGAAGTCTCTGCCTGCCTGAGGAATAGTAAGGGTAAAATTACCTTTTTTATATGTTCCATCAACTCCTTTCCCCATCTTATCCTTGCTGCTTACATCTCCTTCCATGTAAGGAAAGACTCGGGCCTGATGAGTCCATAGATAGTCATTAGATCCAAAGAAGAGAACAGGGAACTCTCCCACGTCATGTCTCATTTTATCAATGTTAGAGGGAACAGCTCGAGGATGGCAGATCTCAGCTGGCCACCACCTGGAAAGGTACACATAAGAGAAGGAACCTCTATGAGGCCGCAAAGGCACTGGGGAAACAACCTACTTCCGTTTCCCTTTCCCTCTGCATGTGTGTTGATACGGAGTGCACGCACTGTATACATGCACGAAGGGAACACCAAACGTCCTCCCGAGTTACTACTGTCCACTCTGTGTACTGAGGCAGGTTCTCAAGCTGAAGCTGCAGTTCACTAGTTCTCTCTAGTCTAGCTAGCCAGTTTACCCCGGGATCCTTACCTTTGCCTCCCAAGCTCTGAGACTACAGACCGGCTACCAGACCTGCCTCACATTTATCGAAGTGCTAGGTTCAGAACACTAGTCCTCCTCCTCCTTGCAGATCAAGTACTTTTTTCACTAATTCACATCAAGCAGAATGTCCCAGAAGCTCACTCACAAACATATAAATAATTTCTTAGAATCAGTTATTTTACTGTGAGAAAATATTTATGATACATGAATATTTATAATGTTCACTGAAGAATTTTCAACAATGAAATGAAAATCAGACTAAGAGCCCATGCTGCTATTCTACAGGACTTTGTTCCATTCCCAGCACCCATGTCAGGCGGCTCACAACCATCTGTATATTAGGTTCCATAGAATTCCATGCTTCTGGTCTCAAAGGGCACTTGTACTCATATACACATATCCACATTTAGACATATACACAATTAAATTTATTAAAATTAATTATAACAGGAGAAATGAAAACGTGACAATGAAAAATGGGAAACTAATGCTCATCATTAAGGGTATCAACAGTAGTAGTATACCAGACAATTAGGACTTTAAAGAAGAAACTTCCGCTGGACTAGGTGGCACATTTTTAATCCCAGGAGAGATTTAAACTCAGGAAGCAGAGGCAGTTTCAGGCCAGCCTGGTTTACATATCAAGTTGGAGATCAAGTTGAGGTCAGCCAGGGCTACATAGTTAATACCTTAACTCAAAGCAAAAACTAAAAAAGAAAGTCCCAGTAATTATCTAACCAAGATAATTAGTATTTCCATCTTTTAATATCTATCATTTCTTTGGGTTAATAACCTTCAAACTTTTCTCTAGAAGTCCTTTTTTTTTTTTTTTTTTAACTTGTTTTGATACAGAGTCTTGCTATATAGCCAGAACTGGTCATGACCTTGTGATCGTCCTTCCTCAGGCTCCAAATTGCTGGGAACACAGGGTATAATACCACATACAGCTAGTAATTCATAAAATATATAACCATAGTGTGCCCTGTTATATATTGAAATCGTTCATTTTAGCTGGGTTAAGTGACTGGAACCAGAGGCAGGATGTCTATCTACCATAACCCAAGAAACAGAGCATGATAAAGAACAGACTGCCGTTCTCTGTCATGCTCACTCACCTGTATCGACCAACCTTTACCCAGACAATCTCCCTGTAGTGTGGTTTTTTGCCTGCCTTGCAGTCATTGCAATACCAATTTCCTTCAGGAATATCAATGTTTAGGCACTCACGATGAAAAGCAGCAGGGCAGGAATCACAGCACAGAAGGCTGCCTCCTACAGGAATAAAAAACTGGCATTTAGACCACAAGGTTATATATAAAGTCCCAGCAGAAATAGCTTTTGCTCAGCTCCTAGTCAATTATTTGTAACTCTAGTCAAGGGCTTAGTGAAACACATGCAGAAAGACTTTCTGTAACAATATGCCCGTTCTTTTTTTTTTTTTTTTTGGTTTTTCGAGACAGGGTTTCTCTGTGTAGCTTTGCGCCTTTCCTGGAACTCACTTGGTAGCCCAGGCTGGCCTCGAACTCACAGAGATCCGCCTGGCTCTGCCTCCCGAGTGCTGGGATTAAAGGCGTGCGCCACCACCGCCCGGCTAATATGCCCGTTCTAATATTCCTGAGCTCCCAGCTCATATCAAAATTTTTCATATTCAGATAATAGTACATTTTACTAGCAAAATTAGTTATGGCAATGAGGTGAAAAGTAAACAAAATTTATGTGCATAAATATCAATATAAACATTTTCTCCTAAGACTATTTATAGCAAATAGAAACCACAGTATAAAAAAAGCACAATTAAGTCTTGTGTATGGTACATGTTTGTGTGTTTGCACGCATGTGGAGGTCAGAGGTTGGTGTTAGATGTCTTCCTTGATCATCTTCTACCTTATTTTTTGTTACAAGATCTCTTACTGAACCTGGAGCTCATCCATTCTGCTAGGCTGGTTGGCTAGCCAATGAACTCAAGTTATCTCTCTGTCTCTGCCCTAACAGTATGTCATGTTATAGCAATGTACCTCTTGTTTTACAAGAGCAAGGGAATCTGAACTCTGGTTGTCATGCTTGTGTGGCTGGGACTTTACCAACTCAACCATCCCTGCAACACTAAAACTGGATTCAGCTGGTGACAGGAAGGGGCTTTAAGCTCTAAGACCATACCACTTCAGGAATTCACTATCCTTACTGAGATCTAATTTTCCTAATAGCAACATTTTATAATGAATAGTCACTCTTTAGAGCACAGTCAACACATCACGCAGAGTGCCTGACACATAAATAGCACCTCCACATGGTTGGGTCTTTCCACTCTTTTTCCCCTCTTAACACTAACTCTTCAGAACTTCGCAGTTTCAGTCACATAGTTATATTATTTGCTTTGTTGCCAGAGGGGAGTCACAGATGAAGCACTTCTAAGCAGGGTGCTTGGCATCCCTACTGAATAGTTACCTGAGTTTCCTGGTTCATAACTTAGTTTCCATTTGTCACCACACTCTTATTAAAATTGTTTTTAAATAAAGTGTGGTTAGAGACTTAGCACAATGAGAGAATTTTAGGTGATATTTGGACTTGTTTCTTAACATATATGAATGAACTTCTTTCCTAGCCTGTACTGTTTTCTATATTGTTCTAGAAACTTTTTTTTCAGGGTGGGCATGGTATTAACTGCCTTTAATAGAGGCACATTGGAGGCAGAAGCATGTGGATCTCTGTGAGTTTGAGGTTAGTTTGGTCTACAAAGCAAGTTCCAGGACAGCCAAGCCTATACACAGACCCTGTCATAAAAATAAATATACATATATAAAATAAAATAAGAACTTTCTTCAGGAGTTGGAAAGACGGCTCAGTTGGGATTCAAAGCATGGGCTGCTCTAGCAGAGGACCAGGGTTTGAACCCCCAGCAACCACATGGTTACTAACAACCTTCTGTAACTCTAATTCTAGGGGATCTGACACCATCTTCTGGCCTTCTCTGGCACTGCATTCATGTGATATACAGACATACACTGAAAAGATTAAAGGTGCATACCACATCAATGTATATAAAATCTAATGCTTTGGGCATGCTAGGCTAGGCAAGTACTATGCCAACTGAGTTATAGTCCAGCCTCATGTATTATAAATTAAAGAGGATACATAAGGGACTGGATAGATGTCTCAGTGGTCATAATGGGCTTGCTATTTAAGTATGAGGACCCTAAGTAAGGATTCCCAGTACCCAAGGAAAGCCAGGCTGTACACCCAGCACTGGGTAGCTGAGACAAGCAGATCCTAGGGATTCTATAGTACATCAGTGTAGCCAAGAAAGGTTGACTGAAGAGATCTTATTTTCAGAGTCAGAGAGATGGGCCAAGTTTGAAGACCTGAGCTTGATATCCAGGACCCATATGGTAGAAGGAGAGAACCATCTCCTATAAATTGTCCACATATTCACCCCAAAACACATAAAATATAAAACATTGGACAATTCCTTTGAAACCCCTCATAAAATCAGAAGTCATATCTTACCTTCTGAGCACACAAAACACCAGCTAACATTAACATGCTCATGATTTCGGCAACCCCGCCTAGGGGTGAAGTGATTAGGGCAGATGATACTATTAGATGCAAGGATTTTTGACCCAGCAGCAAGACAAAAGTCATTAGCATGGTATGCCACAGGACAGCGGACACAGCGCATCAGACGACCTACATATATGGACAGCAGAGAAACGGGGGAGGAGCAAGAGAAAAAGGTTACATATGGAAACAAAGTGCATTATGTAAGTTATTTGTCAGCAGAGAGAATGACTACCTAAAAACATGGCTCTTATACATGTATTCCACTATTAAGAGTAAGAGGAGCCGGGCGGTTGGTGGCGCACGCCTTTAATTCCAGCACTGGGTGGCAGAGCCAGGCGGATGTGTGAGTTTGAGGCCAGCCTGGGCTACAGAGTGATATCCAGGACAGGTACCAAAACTACACAGAGAAACCCTGTCTCCAAAAACAAACAAACAAACAAAAACAAAACAAACAAACAAAAAAAGGGCTGGAGAGATGGCTCAGAGGTTAAGAGCACCGACTGTTCTTCCAGAAGTCCTGAGTTCAATTCCCAGCACCCACATGGTGGCTCACAACCATCTGTAATGAGATCTGGCACCCTCTTCTGTGTACATAATAAATAAATAAATAAATCTTTAAAAAAAAAAAAAAGAGGGAAGCTCTGTGCTAGTCCACAGTGGGAGTAGGACTGCACAATTGTAAATACACCTGCCTCAGCAAGGAGACCACCATCCAGATAACTGCCTTGAGTCCTCTAATGCCTCAAATAAGTCAAAATGGAAAGGAATAGATTCATGAGGCAGAGGCAGGTGAGCTCAGAGGCCAGCCTGGTCTACAGAGGGCGTTCCAGGACAGTCAAGCTACACAGAGAAACCTTGTCATAAAAACCAAAAGATTAAAAAAAAAAAAAGGAATGGAACAGTGGTATTAATGTTTGCCTAGTATTCTACGATGCTTGCTTGTTTCCCACATGGCTCTCCTAATATACCTCAGCAACTAAAAACCAGTATCAAACTACTGAAATCAATCTATATAGCAGCAACAATTAAAAGGGGATATAAAATGCACTGAAGAGAAGATGTTTTCAAACAAAATCTCCCGAGATATCTAAATATTTTAAACTACCAGCTAGAAATCCCACAGAACACAACATGCTATCAGTGAAATTCATTACTCTATTAGGCTACAATGATGTTACTTTACCAAATTGACAAGCAGGAGTCTATGAAGAGATGCTTCAGATTGCACTTGAAAATAAATATTTCCAAAGCAACCGAAGTCTTATAATTAGATTGGTTTATATTAAAAAACAACAACATCCAGGCGGTGGTGGTGCACACCTTTAATCCCAGCACTCATGAGGAAGAGGCAGGTGGATCTCTGTGAGTTCGAGGCCAGTCTGGTCTACAGAGTGAGTTCTAGGACAGGCACCAAAGCTAAACAGAGAAACCCTGTCTCAAAAAAACAAAAAATAGCAGCAACAACAACAAAACCAAAACCACAACAACAAAAACTACCTTTAGAAGCGGATACATTGGCTGGATTAGCAGCATGGCAAGTTATACAGATGTGGAGGGGGCACCTGAAGCCCTTGTTCTGCATGACAGTTGGTGGGTACTTCTGGACACATTCTTCATGGTAAAACTTTCCACATAAGGGCAGAAGGCACCTTTTTACATCTTCCCCACTCTGCTTACATACAAAACAGGTATGGATTCCTGGGAAAGGAAAGAGGAAACAAGTTAGTATTACAGGAATCTACCTAAGCTAATCTATCTAAGCCATTAGGTCTAAGTTAGTGAAGAACTTTACTGAACCAAACTGACAAAATCTGACCCTAATAAATGAACAACTTTAGTACCTTTAAAGGGGGGAATCTGATCTGATATGTGCTTATTGTATGATGTAACAGGGTGTGTATTATATTGTCTACAAAGCATTCCTGTCAAAGGAGAAACTCAATTGTGATCAAATCCAGCCTTTAGATCTAACTACATTGTAGGTGATACAGAAAACACAGGAACAAGGGGTTGGCCGGACATCCCAGTGGGTGTAAGTGTTTGCTCTCAAGTCTTATTCCTGGTTTGTGTGATAAAATCTCCTGACAAAGCAAGAATTTATTTTTGCTTACAATTTCAGATTATGGTCTATCACTTCACGATGTCAAGGTGGCAGCAACTTGAAGCAGCTAGTGCTACCCAGTCAGGAGTAGAGAGAATGAATGTATGGGATGCACTTTTAGACTAGGTTTTGCCAAGTCAATTTCCTTAAGGCAGTTTCCTATAGACATGCCCACAGGCCAAGCAGATTTAGACAATTTTTGTGAAGCTTTCTGGGGAATTCTGAGACTCGAACTCAAGAGATCTGCGTATTTCTCTCTACCTCTCAAGTACTAGGATTAAAGGCTTGTACCACTGCGTTCAGCACACTTCTTACCCCTTCTCAGATAATTCTACATTGTGTTGTGTCAAGCTAACAATTATAACTATCAGTCAGTTTTGATCTTTTTTTAAAAAAATTTTATTTATTATGTATTCTGCCTGCATGCCAGAAGAGGGCACCAGATCTCATTGCAGATGGCTGGGAATTGAACTCAGGACCTCTGGGAAGAGCAGAGCAGTCTGAGCCATCTCTATGCCCCCCCCCCCCCACTTCTTTTAAATACCTTTGAGACAAATGGAAAAAATCTGAAAATGAACCCAGGAGTTACTATAACTCTTGAAAATCTATTGGATTCTCTTTTGAAAGTTCTGTTAGAAGACTTCAATGAGCACTTACAGATTCTTTGTGTGTGTACATGTTTGTAAGAGGAGGTTAAGGTTGACACGGAATGTCTTCCTCAGTCACTCTCTACCTTTTATATTTATTTGTCTATTTTTGATACAGGGTTTCTCTGTGTAACAGCTCTGGAACTTGCTTTGTAGACCAGGCTGGCCTCAAACTCACAGAGCTATCCCTGCCTCTGCCTTTCAAGTGCTGGGGTTAAAGGCGTGAGCTAACACTGCCCAGCCTCTACCTTTTATTTTTTAAAAGATGTATTTATTTGGCATGAGGCACAAGAGGATGTTGGATCCCCTGGAACCTGAGTTACAGGCAGTTGTGTTCTACCCAATTTGGTTGCAGGGCAATGAACTCGGGTTCTATGAAAGAGCACCAAGGCCTAGCCCTACCCCCCTTACTTTTTGAAACGATGTGGCTAGATAGTGAGCTCCAGGAAGCTGCCTGTCTCTGCCTCCCAGTGGCTGGGATTACAGACACACACAGCCATACCTGACTTTTTACATGGACCCTGGGGATCCAAACGCAGGTCCTTATGTTGGTATGATAATCATTTTACTGACTGCGCCACCTTCTGAACAGAACACACGCAAACCCTTTACTTTTTGTTCTACCATTATTTAAATGAAAACTTAAGGAAAGAAAGAGAAGTGGGAAGGGGGAGAAAGAGAGACACTGCTTTGGAGATACAGTACCATAAAATGAAGAGGAAGGGAAAAGGCCAGTACTGAAAAGCAAACTTGAGCATGAACCTTGACATCTGCCATAAAATAGAAGCTCATTTAACTAAAATACCCATCTATAAATACGGAGATCATAATAAAATCTAAGAAAAAATGTAAACTATGTATTTGTAAAGAAACAAGTGGATACTACAGACCTGCTATTGTTCAACTAGAGCAATCTAAGCAATGAGATGATCACCCTGTTACAGTAAAACAGGGAGAGCAACCAGGTAAAGAAATAACATCTTATTTTGTTGTCTAAGAGCAGGTAAAATATCTCTAAAAAAAAAAAGATAGGTTTACATGACAGTTCTGTGATATACTGTTTGCCTAGCCTGCATAAGACTCTGAGTCTAACTCACTCTGAATCTAACTTAGAGGCCTGGAAAAAATAAAAATAGAAGTTTCACTATACTTCAAATCACACACACAAGTTACTTTAAAATAGATTATACATATAAATATGCAGACAGAAACTATTAAAACCACAGAAGATATACTAGTGGGAAAAAAGTGCCACCGAGTTAAGCTGTATTTCTTTTTTTTTTTTTGGTTTTTCGAGACAGGGTTTCTCTGTGTAGCTTTGCGCCTTTCCTGGAACTCGCTTTGGAGACCAGGCTGGCCTTGAACTCACAGAGATCCGCCTGGCTCTGCCTCCCGAGTGCTGGGATTAAAGGCGTGCGCCACCACCGCCCGGCTCTGTATTTCTTAAATACAACAAAATAATACAAATAAAAGTTGATAAACTAGGGACCCAGAGACGCCTCAGTGGTTAAGAGCATACTGGTTTCTCTTTCAGAAGACAGATGCCAGCACCCATATGGCATCTCACAACCATCTGTAACTCCAATTCCAGGGGAACCAATATCCTCTTCTAGCTTTTGAGGTCACCAGGCATGCAGGTGGTGTACATACATACATACAGGCAGGCAAAATGCTCATACACATAAAATAAAAATCTTTTAGAAGTTGACAAACTAGACTTCATCAAATTCTGAGCCAGAAATAATGGTGTATGCTTGTAATACCAACAATGATGAGGGTCTTTGAGAATTTTACAGCCAGCCTGAGATCATATCTCCTAAGACAGATGGACATAGCTCAGTGGTAGAGCTGGTCTATTATGCACAAAGAGTTTACCCCCAGGACCACAAACAAACCAACACTCTAAAAGACTCTGCCAAAAGACGGTGACAACTAATATAATTGATAGAGAGCAGCACACAGAAGATGAGGAAGGCATGAGTTCAAGATCAGCCTGGACTCCACAGTAAATTGCCAACTCAAGAACAACAAGAAAGCAAGAGAAAACAAAAAAACAAAAAAAAAAACAGAGGAGAAACAAGATGATAAGGGTGAAGAGACCACCACAATAGGAAATACCGTATACTGATTGGTCAGGGTAAGGACATTTTAGATGTGACCCTAACACCAGAGAAAAGACAAAACATAAGCAAATCAGATTTGAACACAGTAAAAAAAGCTAGTCATAGTGGCTTATACCTATAATCTTAGCATTTGGAAGGCTGAGGAAAGATTGTAGGTAGGAACAGGTTGGGCTACAAAATGACTGTCTCAGAAACAAAACAAACAAAAAGGACAAAAACAAAAACCCCAAATACCTAAGAAGAAACAGTGAACATAGGGAAGAGACAACCTAACCAACAGGAGAAATGGTTTGTAAACTGTACATTAGCAAAGGAATAACATACAAAATACATATAAAGAGGGGCTGGAGAGATGGCTCAGTGGTCAAGAGCACTGGCTGTTCTTCCTGGGGACCTGGGTTCAATGTCCAGCATCCACATGGCAGCTCACAACTGTCTGTAACTCCAGTTCCAGAGAACCTGATACTTTCACACCAATGCACATAAAATAAAAGTTCAATAAATTATTTAAAATATACATAAAAAGAATTAAAAATAAAATATACATAAAGAACTAAGTGTCAGCACTGGCGGCTATAATGGCTTCCCGGGAAAGGCAGAGTGAGAGGAGGGACTGTAAGGAAAGGGCAGGACTAGGAGGACAAAGCGGGAAGGGAGACCGTCCACAGAGCACAGGAAGGACTGTGCCTCAGGAACGGCAGCAGTCAGACATCTGCTGCTTTTTTGTTATACTATCCCTCCTTCCCCCTCCCCCATCCCTAGTTATGGATAGTCTATCAAGCAGCAAGAGCAGACCACAGCAGTGGAGAGTAGCAGAAACAGCAGGCAAAGAAGAGGATGGTGGAGTGACCACCTGACCACGGGAGACTGGCGTGAGACACACAAAACTAAGACATGGCAGGAAAAAGAAACCCACAGAACAGTTTATCATCTCATTCTGTATTGCTATTAAGGAGTCAGCAAAAGCATGTGATCAAGCTCAGAGGAGGTGATGAAGGACCAGAAATGCTTACATACACAACAAAATGACCAACTCCATGGGCTTGATGGAAAGATTATGGCCCAATGTAATTTCTAAATGTTTTTCATTAAAAATGATTGCTGTACTGTTTATCTCCAAGAACAGCTTTCTACACTTGCTGTACAGAAATATCATCAGAAAAGGCAGTGCAAGATTCAGGCCTAACTCTATTGTTCTAGTTTCCCCTATTTTAGCATTCTCAGAAAGATCCCATCCATAATCAGGCAGAAAGCAAAGGTGCAGGTAAACAACACGCTTTTCTTCATCCTCACCTATTACAACCAGGGCTTCTTGGCGCCCCACCCTATCCGAATAAATCTTTCCAACTTTGCTACAGGATCTCTCTACACTGACAGTAACCTGGGAAAAACTCAACCTCATGCAGGATTCTTTCACTCCTGTCATGGGCCTAGAGCCGATGTTCTGGTGGAGGGGAAGAAAGCTTGGTCCTAAGGTTGAAGGCCAGCTTTCAAAGGTCCTCTGTTCATATTTCTGACTACAGGCCTTCTGAATCAGAGGAATTTTATTTGTAGGATGTCTGAAGAGATGTTGGGTTCATGGTTAGGTTACACAATTGTGTTGAACATTTTGCCCATGGAAATGGGCAAAAGCCTCAAAAGCTACCTCCAAACAAAACTGTTTAGTCCTAGAGGAAATCAAACTCCCAAACTCCAACAAGCAAAGGTGGAAGGAACTCATCTTGTAGGACAACCTAATGACCATTATTTTCTTTTGACTGAACCTCCACTGAATATTCAAGAAAAAAATAGTTGATTAAAATAATATTTGAATCCTTCCACGTTCCA